AACGACGAAAAAAAAACTAGATTGTATCTTGTTAACTACATGAAGCATTTTCATGAAAATTTTGTAATATTTTCTTTACTTCTCTTTACATTAAAATGACCCTTTTTGTTTGCCTTCGTTGCCTGCAAGTCTCTTCAAGTTTAAGAAGAGTTGGCAGAAAAAAAGGGTGCTTGTTGAAGCTTAACAGCTTCGCTTCATTATAAATTGTAGATGTAGTAAAAATACCAAGAGTAGTATACGTAGTTGCTGGCTGTCTGCTGCTGTTTTTTCGAAGACAAGTTGGTGGTTACGCGAATTTCAACAATAGTTTGAATGAACATTGTAATTTTTTTTTTTTGTTCTATCCATTCTTTAGAGATTTAACTTACGAGAGTTTCGTGATTGAAACATATGAATGAAGAAGATACATTTTTAAATTATAAAGTCTTTTCCTTGTTTTAAAGAGAGTTCTTTTTGCAGTTTATATAACTAAACGTTAAGTATATAATTAGTTAAAGTTTAATTTTAATACAAAAGTAAATTTAATTTATTATATTATTAATTAAAGTAAAGTTTTCTTTAGCTTTGCCATAAGCAGTTGGCAACTCATTGATCACTGAGTGTTTTTGGCTATTTTTGATTGATTATTTATTGAGAACAAATGAAGAATTGATTAATAATGATTGTCTTGATAATACCACTTACAAAATATGTGGCAACTCACTGTTCAAACTTGTTGGCAACTCTCTCTTCAAATATGTTGGCAACTCATTGATCAAACTAAACACAATTAAGCAAAGTTGTAATTTTCAAATAGTTGCATTTTTTGATTATTTTTTATTTTATATTTATTGAGAACAAAACAAAGATTGACAATTAATGATTGTTAGAATAATGACACTTACTTCTCACAAAACAGTTGGCAACTCACTGATCAACATCACACAATTTCACAGAATAATTAAACTGTAAATAATGGCAACTAATAGTCGCTTATTTTTGATGGATTATTTATTGAGAATAAAACAGAGATTGCCAGATGAATGACTCTTATGTCACAAACACAAATTGGCATCTCACTTAACAAACATGTTGCCAACCCTTTAGACAACTTAAACACAGTTTCACATAGTAATTGAACGCCAAATAATCGTTATTAATTGTTATTTGAAACTTTTTTTTGTTTTAACTTAACTTTCAAATATTATTTTTACATTTTAATCAAAATTATGCATGATTAACTTGACAATTATTACCAAAAAGTTTATTGTTATTATTATTTATTTTTCACTGATTATTTATTAAGAACAAAACAATTTTTGACAAATAATGATTGCTGTAGTATTGTCAGAATAATGCCACTCATGTCTTAAAAATGTAAGGAGAAAAGGAGACAGGGAAAGAGAGAGAGGAGTTAAAAATGATGTAAATGACACACAAAATATTATTCTTTTTTGCTGCTTTTTGTGTGGTTTATGGTTTACGTGTTCGGTTGAGAGTAATTGTTAAACAACCCAGTGAACATTACGCCATAAGCATTAGAATGTTAGAAAAATTTAACCAAAACCGAGAGCTTAAATTTCAGGCTTAACTAACGAATAGATTTTTGAACTCTTTTTCAAATACTTATTACAATTTTTATGCTCTCTGCCTAAACCCCTTTTCCACAACATACGTTTCATTAATCAAACTTTTCCTCGAAAAACTAATCAATATTCCTAAAGCAACAAATAAAACAAAAGCATTTTGTTGTCTCTATAAGTATTCCTGAACTTATGAATAATGCATCTTAAGTATTTATACCATATAAACAGAGTAGATAGATGAAAAATACTCAATCTTACGTTTATTGTTTTATCATCACAGCCACATCTTTCAATATATTCAATAGTGAGTAGAGCAGGAGATTGTGTGTAAAATATTTAATAGTTTTTTTTTCTACATAGACTTCTTTTATCAGGCTGCCCTCCCTCCTGTGTTCCCTGTCAGTCTAATGCTCTATATTAATTAATAATTAATGGTATTTGTTATAGAGGGACTGGGGAGGGAGAAGTTGAAAAGGATTAGTGTTGTAAAAGAAATGTTTCAAATGAATGCAGTGTTGAGTAATTGGTTGAATGAAGGGGACAGTATTAGGACCCGGTATTTCTAGAGTTAAGTTCAAGTTCTTGGTTAATTTGTCGTTTGGATCACGAATAGAATATTGATAATCCCTGACCTTATTGTATTATGTGTTTATAGGGTTTGGTGGACATTTTGCAAACCAGTAGTATAATCTGGTTAATGTGGCAAAGGGATCCTGAGGAATCTATGGGTAGCAGGCATTCTGTTATTAAGGCTCTTGATATTATGTAGAAAAACTCCTAGTTAATCCTTTCTTTAACTTCACACTCACATCCATAATACTATTACATTTACCTGCCAAAGTGTTCCGTAATATCTCTCTCTTTTGTAAACCCACAACCGATTAATCGTTTTATCTAATTACTCCTAACAACAATTTCCCCCAACACATTTCCTCTTTCATTACAACCATACTCAAACTTAACTGTCTCCTCTTATAGAGGAATTAGAAAAACAAGTTGAAAATTATTTCAGATTTGTGGTTTATGGTATCGTACATTCTTTCTTTTCCAGCCATATTTGTAAGCTAACTATTGCCTTAAATGTCTAACACACGCAAAGGCATTTAGGGAAGACAAGTAAGAGAAGGTTTCTTGTTAATATTACTCTATTGTGTTTCTAATTGTGGCATCTACATTCTCATACAAGAAATGATTAATATTGCCTCAGTGCCTCAAAATTGTAATTTGAAAATTTTGTAATTACTTTAAATATATGTAATGAGAACACATTTTTTAATGATTTTCCTATTTGTGGCGGGAAAAATATACAATTTTGTCTAATTTTTGGCAAACATTTGGTTGGCACGTAAATCAAGAGTTCTACTTCTACTTTACATCAACAGAAAGTTTCCATTCCTTTCTATAGTTCTTTTATATGTATCCCATTGCTATTTGTTGTCTTATCACGTCTCAAATTCAACATAAAATTTGATTACAGCGACACCATAATGTATTTCTAACAATTCGCCTCGTTTCTTGTGTGCCTGTCTACATGTCAATACACTTACATATTTTTGCTAGTAGTACCACATACTGTTAATAGTTTTGAGTGTGTCACAAATGTCGTAAAGATTCCTTTGATACCAAGAAATATTAGTGGTTATTTGTTACCACAGACAAATAAGTAGAAAAGCTTATAATATTTACACATCCTGCGAGAGTGCATTGAAAGATATTTAAAGTTAAAGGAATACGGTATTTGAACTTAAGACGGCTTTAAAACTTCAATATTTTAAGCAAATAAAAGAAATACTAAAGATAAGGTCCTGTTTTAGATCTGTTCTAGTTCTGTTCTAGTTCTGTTCTAGTTCTGTTCTAGTTCTGTTCTAGTTCTGTTCTAGTTCTGTTCTAGTTCTGTTCTAGTTCTGTTCTAGTTCTGTTCTAGTTCTGTTCTAGTTCTGTTCTAGTTCTGTTCTAGTTCTGTTCTAGTTCTGTTCTAGTTCTGTTCTAGTTCTGTTCTAGTTCTGTTCTAGTTCTAGTTCTGTTCTAGTTCTGTTCTAGTTCTGTTCTAGTTCTGTTCTAGTTCTGTTCTAGTTCTGTTCTAGTTCTGTTCTAGTTCTGTTCTAGTGCTGTTCTAGTTCTTTTATAGTTTTGTTCTAGTTCTGTTCTAGTTCTGTTCTAGTTCTGTTCTAGTTCTGTTCTACTGTTCTAGTTCTGTTCTAGTTCTGTTCTAGTTCTGTTCTAATTCTGTTCTAGTTCTGTTCTAGTTCTGTTCTAGTTCTGTTCTAGTTCTGTTCTAGTTCTGTTCTAGTTCTGTTCTAGTTCTGCTCTAGTTCTGTTCAATGTCATAATTCGTAAAATTTTTAACAAATCTCTTTTAATTACTTTAAACTTAAGTAAAACAAAGTTTATCAAGCTTAACAATTTTTGAGTAAATCTACTGCAATTTTAGAAGTGTTATAAACTTTTCTCAAAACTATAGTTAATTTTTACTAGTTACTCAACTTTTTAAACATTCCAGCCTTTCCAGCAATAAAAAACTAAAAGGAAAAAGGTTTCATACAAATACCGCCACAGCCGTGGATAAACTTCCGTTTGCATTACTTAAGCCACAGAAGTTTTACGTTTAGCCCCTTCAATTGTTTTATGAATATTGTCTATGGTTTTTAACATAAAGTTTTATTTTGTAACATATTTTTTTATTACAACATTCTTGTTTCTTTTTTTTTTAATTCAAAAAAAAAAAGAACATGTTGGTTTTACACTGACAGTCAGTTTTCTATACAAACAACAGCAGGTGCTGCATTTGTAATTAGAGGAGGAAATAGTTAAAAAAAAACTAACAGAGAAAAAAATTATTAAACAAACAAAAAAACTTTGCAATTGTAAAAATGATATAAAAAGACCTTGGACAGGTATTAAAACTCTACAGCAGATGACAAATACTTATAGAAAGGAAAAAAAATAAACGCGATATTTAAAACTGTAGATAACACACACACACATATTTTGCGTGATACCAACAAAACAGCATAATTGGCAATGCGCTAAAACATAAATTTTGCTAAGAAAAAGTTGGCTACAATACAGCTTAATTACTTAATGTATGAGTGAATTAAGTCAAGAAATTGACAATTTAAAGAGTTGTAGCGTTAATTTAACTTAAGCATCTTTCATGGTCTGTAGTTTGATGTTAAAATATTTAGATGGTTGGCCAATTAAATAGTTGCCTTAGGTGTGGTATTTCAAGAGTGATATTCAATACCGGGCAAGTAATAAAAAGTAATTTAATTACTTAACTAATGGACATAATGAGTTCGCCAAACAGTGCGCTGTAATCAATTTTAATTAGTCTCAACAACAAAAAACCACTAGCTTTAAGTTTACTTAATCTCTTATAAATCTTTTATAAACTAATTTCTCTTCATTTCCGTTTGTTTGTTTTTTTATTTCTAGGCTCATGTAGTGGCTGCTTTTGAGCAATCTTTATCCAATATGACTTCGCGTCTACAGCACTTGACAGCCACTGCAGAACGTAAGGATGGTGAGTTGACGGATATGCGCCAGACAATAGAGCTTTTACGTAAACAGTCCATACAAGCTGGTTTAACTACGGCTCATATGCAAAGTATGGGTGTGCAGACACAAAGTCAAACACAAAATGATTTACTAAGCAATAAACCACCACCACTGCCACCCTCTATGCCGGGCCAACATATGTCCCGAGCCGCCCAACATTTACAGCAGCAGCAAACGGGCTCAAATGGTCAAACGGGAGCCATGCAACGTCATCACAGTTCGGATTCTATGTGTTCAGTTAATTCCATTGGTTCCAGTTGCTCGACTCAGGATAAGAAACAGAAAAAGAAGGGCTGGCTGAGGAGCTCTTTTACCAAGGCTTTTTCGCGTAATGCCAAAATATCGAAAACTAGTCGTCATGTGGGTCATAATCACTCGGGTTCTCAAGCCAGTGATATAGGCAGTCATGCCTCTGGTTTAAATCGGCCCAATGGTCATGGTGATCCTCCCGGTTTATCGGCTCTGGCCACACAACCGGCTCCTACTATGCCGGCCTCACCCACCAAATCTAGCCCTGCTAAAACCGTCACCCTAATAGATAATGCCAAACCCATAGATGCCATAGATCATGATGAAAATACTCATGTCGTGGAGGAGTTAAAGAAACAATTAAGAGAAAAGGATTTAGTTTTAACCGATATAAGATTAGAGGCTTTAAGTTCAGCCTCACAATTGGAGAGTCTCAAGGAGACCGTCAATAAAATGCGTGCCGAAATGATGTCTTTGAAACAGAACAATGAGAGGCTACAGAAAATGGTTACCAGTAGGTCTTTGGCTGGCTCGGAGGCCTCTTTGGGCAATGCCATAAGTCCTAATGGCTCGATAGGTGAATCACGTAGATACTCCTTGGCCGATGGTAACTCCCGGCCGCCCATGGAACTGCCCAAAAGATTAGAAGAAGAAGTAGAGGAGGAGAATATACCGCCCGCACCAGCACCCGAACCTCCACCACCTCCAATCTCACCCACCACCCACATAGATTTAACACCACCTCCTCCCGCTTTAGAAGCCATGACCAGTCCGGCTCATATACCATCCACCGCCGAGGATATGCAGGATGTTAGTGATGGCAAGAAAATAGCCATAGCCTGCTATCTAGGACAACCCGAGTCATTCGCCAAATACTGCGAGGAAATGTTGGAGGTAGATGATTTCTATGCCAATAGCTCTATGCTTGTTAGCAGTCTAGATGAGAATGGTGAACGTAAAGCATTCCCTACGGCCAGTCCCAATGAATTTGTCATAGCCTATACTTATATATCGGGCAAGACTTCGTGGCAAAATTTGGATTATATAGTGCGTAAAACCTTTAAGGATTATGTATCACGCATAGATCCCGGCACCAATTTGGGTTTGAATACCGACTCTATAACCTCTTACCACTTAGGTGAAGCTAAACGTGGACCCGAAATGGGTTTCCCTGAACTATTACCCTGTGGTTATATAGTGGGCAATGTGCGTACTTTGTATATATGTTTACAAGGAGTGGGCAGTTTGGCTTTCGATAGCCTGATACCCAGAAGTATAGTGCATCGTTATATTAGCTTGCTAACCGAACATCGTAGACTGATACTGTGTGGTCCCAGTGGTACGGGTAAATCATATTTAGCCAGACGTTTGGCTGAGTTTTTAGTGGCCAGATCGGGTAGAGGCAATCCCTCGGAAGCTATAGCTACATTTAAGTAAGTTTTAAGGAAGTTTTGATATAAAAAGTTTTCTAACTAAATGTTTTTTTTTTTTGCTTTGCTTACAGTGTGGATCATAAATCCTCTAAGGAGTTAAGACAATATTTGGGCCATATTGCTGAACAGGCTGCCATAGCTAATGGCGCTTCAGAATTGCCTTCTGTGATTATATTGGATAATTTACATCATGCCTCGGCTTTGGGTGATGTTTTCTCTTGTCTGTTGAGTGCGGGACCAGCAGCTAAGCTGCCCTGTATTATAGGCACTATGTCGCAGGCCACCTGCAATACCACCAATTTGCAATTGCATCATAATTTTAGATGGGTAAGTTTTACTAACATAACTGACATATCGTTTATGTTCTAAACTTAACTTTTTTTTGGTAATTTAAAGGTTTTGACTGCCAACCACATGGAACCGGTTAAAGGTTTTTTGGGACGTTTCCTAAGACGCCGTTTATTTCAATTGGAACTGCAGACCCAACATTCTCAACCCGAATTGGCTTCGGTTTTGGCTTGGTTGCCCACTGTATGGCAGCATATTAATCGTTTTTTGGAGGCCCACAGCTCTAGTGATGTTACCATTGGGCCACGCCTTTTCTTGGCCTGTCCTTTAGATTTGAAAGAGTCTCAAGTTTGGTTTACCGATATTTGGAATTATCATTTATCACCCTATCTAATCGAGGCCGTACGTGAAGGTGTGCAATTATATGGCAGACGTGGTGGAGCTTGGAATGATCCTTCCGCATTTATAAGAAATTCCTATCCTTGGCCTTATGGACCCGATTCAGTGCCGCCTCTAAGGCAAATAAATGCCGAAGATGTGGGTTTGGAGGGTGTGGCCGTTAGTAATGGCGATAATCAAGATCCTTTGGTAGGTTTTATATAACAAAAAGAGATTTTGAACAATAATTCATATTCTCGTTCTTTTTTTTCAGCTAAACATGTTAATGCGTTTACAAGAGGCTGCCAACTATTCGGAAAATCAAGATCAAGAATCAGACTGTGCCAGTTTAGATTCAAACATAACACCCGATTCCTCAGCAGGGGCTGAATGAGATTTACTAAGGGAGGGCACTACTAAACACTGGTTATAAGGGCAAACGAGAAAGATATTTTAAAAGAAATTAAGAAAACAAACTTTATACAGCTTTTCCCCCAAAGTTTATATAACAAACAATCTATATATATATATTTAATTATATAATCAATATTAACAACTAATCCTTTATTTATATAAACTTTACACCACAAAACATCTTTATACAAACTATGTAAATGTATTAAATACCAAAATTTTTTGTATATTTTATATGAGAAAATCTTAAAAAAAAAGATTAACAAATACCAAGACTTTTGTTTAGGGACTAAAGTTAAAAAATGACAGCTTGTTTAAACTTAAAAATGCCAAAAATTGTGTGTTTACACTTAAAGAAATTTGTTTTTGTTTTAACTTTATTTATTATTTTTCCTTTTTATTTATTATTTTTCCCTAACTTGCACTACTTTCTTTAGAATTTTTTTGTTTTTTGTCTTGGCACAAAAATTTTTGAAAGCAGTTGCTTAAGTAACACTTTTGTAATACACTGTATACACTGTAAAAAACTAGCATTATGAGTTCAAATTGGTTATGTGTTAAAATTGCACTTTTAAGCGGCACTTGTTAAAAATGCAAATTTTTTTTATAACTACACTGAGAGAAGAGAAGACATGAAAATTATATTGCACTTATATTAACCTTATATTTTTTTGGGTTAAACTAAAACAAATTTCTTTAAAGTTTTTAGTAAAATTTTAGGGGTAATAGGTAGAGGGTATGAGGAGAGTTAATTTATTACATTAGGCCCCAAGTTAGGCTTAAAAGTAAGATCTAAAAAGCTTTAAAAGTGGTCAAAGTCATATGTTTGCTTAAAGACGGCATAGAATCCCTTTTCTGCTGTAATGCTTAGACGTTCCCTTAAAGACTAAATTTTTTCTATAAACATAGATCTTGTTCGCATAAATGCTATATGAATGCTTAATTGTCTAAAAGTATATGGAATAGACATTTCAACACTAAGTTCCCTTTCGCATAAATGCTTAGACGTTCATAAATGGATGCTTAAATGATTTAAAGTAAAGGGAAGAGACATGGCTAAAAGTATATGAAATATTTCGTCATGAATGCTTCGCCGTTCATATATGGATGCTTAAATGTTAAAAAGAGACATCTTAACACTCAGTCACTTTTAGGATGAATGCTTAGACGTTCATACATAGATGTTTAAATGACTAAAATTACATGGAAGAAACTTTTTCAAAACTGAGTCGTTTTTACGCATGATTGGAGTTCATATATGAATGTGAAAAAGTATGAAAGACCTTTCAAAATGGTCTGACAGACTTCTTTAAACTCTTCCCCTTGTCGCATGAATGATAAAGCGTTCATATAAGGATGCTTAAATGTCTCGTTTTTACGCATAATAGGAGTTCATATATGAATGTGAAAAAGTATGAAAGACCTTTCAAAATGGTCTGAAAGACTTCCTTAAATTGTGCCCCTTGTCGCATGAACGATAAAGCATTTATATAAGTATGCTTAAATGTCTTAAAGTATATAGAAGAGACATTGTAATATTGAGTCGGTTTTAGAATGAATGCTTAGACGTTCATATGGAATAAACGTCTCAAAACTAAGACGCTTTTCACATGAATGCTTAGGCGTTCATATATGGATGTGAGGAAGTATGAAGAATGAGAAATTAACAACCTAGTTAGACTTAAAAATAGAGCCTAAAGGGGTTTCAAAGTAGCCTGAGAGTCTTCTTTAAATTGAATACCTTTTCGCAAGAATGCTTAGGTGTCGATATGTGGATACTTAGGCATCAATATATTGCTGCCTGAAGGACTTAAATTGTATGGAAGAGATTTCTTTAAATTGTGACCTTTACGCAAGAATGCTTAGCCGTTTATATATAGATACTTAGTTATCAATATATGGTTGCCTGAAAGACTTTAATTGTATGGAAGAGATTTCTTTAAATTGTAACCTTTACGCAAGAATGCTTAGACGTTCTTATAGAGATTAGAGTTAGACTGTTTGAAAGTTTATACTTGAATCTAAGAGTAAAAAGACATAAAGACCCTTACTTCTGCCTCACAGTTTACAAAACCCTAGACCTTTCTTTTTACCCCCTAAAATCGAAGACTCTAAGCAAGCTACAACAGAAAATATTTTCAAAAATTAAGAAATAAAATAAATAAAAATTATAAAAATCATAAAAAATCCTAAAAAACACAATTTAACATTAAATGTTATATTCAAAAAAATAATTTCAAATTAAACCCTGTAAATGTAAAATGTCACTAAACTATAGAAAACTAAAAATAACAATAATAACAAAAAAACTAAATGTAAATTGTAAATAATAAATATTTTATGTTCTTTTAAGCCAAATTATTAATTATTAACAAAAATAAACAAATAACAAATATTTAATATTAATAACACAAATAAATAAAAACCTAACGCTTCTAACAATTATAAACTAATAATAATTATAATAATATAAATAATACTAAAACTCCCTAAAGAAAAGAAAATTTCTTTAAACCCTAAAACCAAACTAACTGTCAATAGTAACAAATCTAAAACCTAAAATTTTTATACATTCAAAAATAACTATAACTATTTATACCTTCATAAAAAAAATCATAAAAAATCCTTAAAAAATAAATTAAAAAAAAACTCTCCTTTAACTATAAATTGTCCAAATACGTACTCTATTAAAAAACAAAAAAAAAACTACAAAAAACAATAGTTAATTTCTTTAAAGCTTGTTATAGTTATTTTAATTTTTTTATATAAATATAATAAAAAATTTAGTTTATTTTGTTTGTTTTTTACTTTTTTAATTAAATATAAAAATAATTTACAAATTTGTTTAATTTTGCTGCTGAAAAAAAACACTCATAATAATGAACTTAAAACATTGTTTATTTAATTCTATTATATGAGCAAAAGAAAAAATTAATAATTATACTGTTTAAGCTAAAATAAATTTAGTTTTTAGTCAAACAAAAAAAAAGAAGAAAGAAAAATTCAATGAAATGTAAAATCAAAATAATTTGTAATTTAAAAAAAATACTTTAAACAATGAGAACGAAAAATGCTGCATAATAAAATGAAGAAAGCAAAATAATTTTTTTTCAAAAATATAATAAACTAAAGAGTTTTATTTTAAAAGTGGAATTAAAATGGTAAATTTTTTAATAACTGCAATAGAAATAGAATGCATTTTATTTCATATCTAAGTTTTCAGTCAATCCTTCAAATTCGTCTATAGTCTTAACTACATTCAAAACTATAGTATAATCTATAATCTGGTACGTAACATAGTCCAAAGTATAATCTATAGTCCAATTTGTAGTATATTCAATAATCTACACTATAGTCCACTCCATAATCAATTCTAATTTATAGTCTAATATAGCCAAGTCTCTATTCGAATCTAGTCTAAATTCGAATCTATAAACAGGTCAATATTCTAATAAATAGTCCAGTCTGGTTTACAGTCTAGACTATAGTCCACCCCATAGTATAGTCTATAGTGTAGTAGATTGTCTAGTTTATAGTCTAGTCTATAGTCTAATCCATAGACTAATCTATAGTCTAGTCTTTATTCTAGTATATAGTCTAGTCTATAGTTTAGTCCTCAGTCTAGAATATAATCTATAGTCTAGTCCATAGACTAGTCTATAGTCTAGTCCATAGACTAGTCTATAGTCTAGTCCATAGACTAGTCTATAGTCTAGTCTATATTCTAGTCTATAGTCTAGTATAGAGTCTAGTCTATAGTTTAGTCCTCAGTTCATAGTCTTATCTGGTCTATAGTCTAGTCTGTAGTCTTATCTATAGCCTAGTCTTTATTCTACTCCATTGTCTAGCCTAGTCTAGAGAATAGTGTATAGTATAGTCTAGTCTATAGTCCAGTCTATAGTCTAGTCTATAGTCTAGTCTACATTCTAGTCTATATTCTAGTCTATTGTCTTTAGTCTACACTATAGTCTAGTCTATAGTCTACAGTTTAGTCCATAGTCCATAGTCTAGAGTATAATCTAGTCTATAGTTTAGTCTATAGTCTAGTCTATAGTCTAGTCTATCGTCTAGTCTATATTCTAGCTTATAGTATATATCTATAGTCTAGTCTATAGTCTAGTTTATAGTCTAGTCTATAGTCTAGTCTATAGTCTAGTCTATAGTCTAGTCTATAGTCTTGTCTATAGTCTAGTCTATCGTCTAGTCTATAGTCTAGTCTATAGTCTAGTCTATAGTTTAGTCTATAGTCTAGTCTATAGTCTAGTCTATAGTCTAGTCTATAGTCTAGTCTATAGTCTAGTCTATAATCTAGTCTATAGTCTAGTCTATAGTCTAGTCTATAATCTAGTCTAAAGTCTAGTCTATAGTCTAGTCTATAGTCAAGTCTATAGTCAAGTCTATAGTCAAGTCTATAGTCAAGTCTATAGTCAAGTCTATAGTGTAGACTATAATCTAGTCAATAGTCTAGTCTATAGTCCACAGTCTAGAGTATAATCTAGTCTATAGTCTAGTCTGTATTCTAATCTATAGTCTAGTATATAGTCTAGTCTAGTCTGTATTCTAATCTATAGTCTAGTCTATATTCTAGTATATAGTCTAGGCTATATTCTAGTCTATAGTTTAGTCTATAGTCTAGTCTATAGTCTAGTCTATCGTCTAGTCTATATTCTAGCTTATAGTATATATCTATAGTCTAGTCTATAGTCTAGTTTATAGTCTAGTCTATAGTCTAGTCTATAGTCTAGTCTATAGTCTAGTTTATAGTCTAGTCTATAGTCTAGTCTATAGTCTAGTCTATAGTCTAGTCTATAGTCTAGTCTATAGTCTAGTCTATCGTCTAGTCTATAGTCTAGTCTATAGTCTAGTCTATAGTTTAGTCTATAGTCTAGTCTATAGTCTAGTCTATAGTCTAGTCTATAGTCTAGTCTATAATCTAGTCTATAGTCTAGTCTATAGTCTAGTCTATAATCTAGTCTAAAGTCTAGTCTATAGTCTAGTCTATAGTCAAGTCTATAGTCAAGTCTATAGTCAAGTCTATAGTGTAGACTATAATCTAGTCAATAGTCTAGTCTATAGTCCACAGTCTAGAGTATAATCTAGTCCATAGTCTAGTCTGTATTCTAATCTATAGTCTAGTATATAGTCTAGTCTGTATTCTAATCTATAGTCTAGTCTATATTCTAGTATATAGTCTAGTTTATAGTCTAGGCTATATTCTAGTCTATAGTTTAGTCTATAGTCTAATTTATCGTCTAGTCTATAGACTAGTCTATAGGCGAGACTATTGTCTAATTTATAGCTTATTCTATAGTCTAGTCTATAATCTAGTCTATGGCCTAGTGTATAGTATAGTCTATAGTCCAGTTTATATTCTAGTCTATAGATTAGTCTATAGTCTAGTCTATATTCTAGTCTATAGTCTAGTACATAGTCTAGTCTATAGTTTAGTTCTCCGTCTAGTCTATGGTCTTATCTGGTCTATAGTCTAGTCTAGAGTTTAGTCTAGAGTCTACTCTATAGTCTTATATGGTCTATAATCTTATCTGTAGCCTAGTCTTTATTCTATTTTCTAGCTTATAGTATATATCTATAGTCTAGTCTATAGTCTAGTCTATAGTCTAGTCTATAGTCTAGTCTATAGACTAGACTATAGTCTAGTCTATAGTCTAGTCTATAGTCTAGTCTATAGTCTAGTCTATAGTCTAGTCTATAGTCGTCTATAGTCTAGTCTAGTCTAGTCTATAGTCTAGTCTATAGTCTAGTCTATAGTCTAGTCTATAGTCTAGTCTATAGTCTAGTCTATAGTCTAGTCTATAGTCTAGTCTAGTCTAGTCTATAGTCTAGTCTATAGTCTAGTCTATAGTCTAGTCTATAGTCTAGTCTATAGTCTAGTCTATAGTCTAGTCTATAGTCTAGTCTATAGTCTAGTCTATAGTCTAGTCTATAGTCTAGTCTATAGTCTAGTCTATAGTCTAGTCTATAGTCTAGTCTATAGTCTAGTCTATAGTCTAGTCTATAGTCTAGTCTATAGTCTAGTCTATAGTCTAGTCTATAGTCTAGTC